ATTTTATTTCTTTTTCCTTTAAACGTTTCCTCAGAATCAGAGTGCTAAAAGCTACTGCAGGTACTTGCTGGAAGCGCTGTTTTATGACACACCTGGTTCACGCTACAAAAATATAATACCGGATGGGTGCCATTTTTGTTTGATTACCCGTCAGCAAGCGAAGGGCTCGGAAACTAGAAAGACAACATGCATTCCCGCGCATGGTGGTTTCGAAAGAGGCCGTGAGACACACGTGCGCCTACCTGGGATTGAAGTCGTTGGCAGCAACACGAACACCGCTCGCTATCAGCATCACCGTGCTGACTGCGTCTTGGGCGGCGCGACAGCAATCGCATGCGCCGCCTTCAACGTCCACGTCTTCCAGAAGCGCTCAAACCTGAAATAGCATGATTTGAGATAACCCCGTGCGCCCAATACAAAAGTATCCATGTTTTGAATCTGTCATACTCAAAGTGCCATCTGGCAGAAGGATAGCGCGGGCAGCAGCGGAAAAACAAATTGTAACGATCTGCTACTCTATCCTGCGGTGGACGCTACGGTAAGGGGCTAAAGTTGAACGTACATGTTCTGCAAAGATTTGCATCTCTGCTCGCACAACGGTTATGACTTTGGACTTGAGAGAAAAGACCACTACTTTGGGTCAGGAAAATCAAAACACTTTTATTTTTGGGAAATGGACACAAGTGGGTATACCCACGCCATTCTCGGACAAAAGTGGGTACTCGAAAATCCAGCGCGCGCGCACTCCCAAGGCAACCCCCAAACGACTCAAAACCCCATTCTGACACCTGGGCGACACAGCCAAGGACGATACACAGCACGAGGCATCGATTTTTTCCCACGTTCAGGTACACATTCGGCCCTGATACCGCAGAGGCGCGCAAGGCCTCACCAGAGCGCCCAACTCTGTCCGACATCGCGGTGGGTATACCCAGCGGCGTCAACTAATTTTTTCATGTACCACTTATGTCTATATTTCGACCCATTTTTGTCCAAATTGTCCCCACTTGTGTCCACTTACGGACGGCGGAAATCGAGCGGAAATCGAGCGGAAATCGACCTCCACGTCACCGCACGGCAGAACATCGAATAGCCTCGGAACGTCTCAGAACCTCCCGACACCGTATCCGTGGCATCCTTCCTATCCATGGCTGCCGACTGCGGACCGACCGCGGAGGAACATGTCAGAAACATGCCAGACCCTTTCGGTACAGGCACAGGAGGATACCAGGCACGGGAAGCGGCCCGCGGCAAGCCCGGCAGGCAGCGCACTAACGGCAAACGCCACAAATAAATGCGTGACACACAATGGACAGCAAAACGAACGGGCGTGCATACAGAACAACAACACACACACGCGCCACACACACAAAAAACACCAACCACCACGACGAGTGCACACCAACTCGTGAGGGCAGCAGCAGCATGTCGAGGCAGTTTGCCACATAACCACATGATGATATTCATATGCACAACATGCATATGGTGTGTACGAAGTAAAAATCCGGCTCGATATCCCCTCATTACCTAACCAATCAAACGACGAAAATTGATACCGTTCGCTACGCTACGTTGTTCGCTGTTACTTTGTGGATGGTGGGTTAAGGAAGAATAGGCCGCACATTGCGTACTCCGGAGTAACCATAAGAGTTGGCATACACATGGTTTCATACTTTGCATGCATACGAAGTACTTCGAAGCACTACTAGTTCAGGGGTGCCGCGCTTAGGGTTGCGTGGTAAACTGCCTCGATATGCTGCTGCTGCCCTCACGAGTCGGTGTGCACTCGTCGTGGTGGTTGGTGTTTTTTGTGTGTGTGGCGCACGTGTGTGTGTTGTTGCTGTACACGCGTCTTGTTGTTCTGTATGCGCGCCCATTCGTTTTGTTGTCCGTTGTGTGTCACGCATTTATTTGTGGCGTTTGCCGTTAGTGCGCTGCTTGCCGGGCTTGCCGCGGGCCGCTTCCCGTGCCTGGTATCCTCCTGTGCCTGTACCGAAAGGGTCTGGCATGTTTCTGACATGTTCCTCCGCGGTCGGTCCGCAGTCGGCAGCCATGGATAGGAAGGATGCCACGGATACGGTGTCGGGAGGTTCTGAGACATTCCGAGGCTATTCGATGTTCTGCTGTGCGGTGACGTGGAGGTCGATTTCCGCTCGATTTCCGCCGTCCGTAAGTGGACACAAGTGGGTACAATTTGGACAAAAATGGGTCGAAATATAGACATAAGTGGTTACATGACAAAATTAGTCGACGCCGCTGGGTATACCCACCGCGATGTCGGACAGAGTTGGGCGCTCTGGTGAGGCCTTGCGCGCCTCTGAGGTTTTAGGGCCGAATGTGTACCTGTACGTGGGAAAAAAACGATGCCCGTGCTGTGTGCTTGGCTGTGTCGCCCAGGTGTCAGAATGGGGTTTTGAGTCGTTTGGGGGCTGCCTTGGGAGTGCGCGCGCGCTGGATTTTCGAGTACCCACTTTTGTCCGAGAATGGCGTGGGTATACCCACTTGTGTCCGTTTCCCTTTTTTTTTTATACGACGAGTCACTTTGGAAGGACCACGAAGTGTCTACAAAATGGATTGTGCAGCCGGCGCCAACACTCTAAAAAAAAATTCGGGCACCAACCACTAATACTGTTGTTGGCCGATACCCTTCCACGGGCTTCCAGGTGTGGTACATGTATCATGACGTGCTCGACGAAAAGCACCTTGATTGACCATCCGCAAGTGCGGTCTGGGGGCACTCCCAATCCCCATCGGTTCAGCCAATTGCACCCTGTAGGGTACATTATCATCATTTGAGTACGCTCGTTTTGCACCTTTTGTCTATGGAGTTCGGACGGATTCCACAACGCAAGGAGACGGCTGCTCAACCACCAGTGTGTCCCTAGACCCTTTGTCTTCCTTCTGGCGGCGCCTCTTGAATGTTCTGTAAACCCCACCGACACAGCCGGGCCGGCAACAGATGCATTCTCCAACCTTGAGAGGGTCTCCTTGAAGGTCGCGCTCATTTGGCCACCCTTCCCCTGCTGTTGCTGACCACTCGCCCAGCTGCCCCCAATATTTTCCGGTCAACGTGCTTCTGCTTGCTTGAGCACCCTTCGCGACTGCCGGGACGTCCACAGAGGAAGCAAAGCTCAAGTTCTCCTCCTGGCGCTTTTCCCCATGCACAACTTTGCCACAGGAGCCGAGAAAACCGCGTGTCATGGCGCGTACTGTACCCCGAAATCAACGTTCTTTTTGGCCGTTTTTTTTGCTGACCGAAACGCATTGCTGGAGAAGGTGGATGTGCTCAGCTGTACGCAGCAAGCACCCTAAAAGTCGAAACCAGTACAGGCCGCACTGATTTGGGCTGGTTGGGTGGGCTGCACCCCGACACTCCTCATGTACCAGCTCTCCTGTGAGGCAGCTTTTGTTATTCGCCCACAGCGCAAAGAATGGTACAAAACTTGCACCATCCGCTGCTGTGGGAGTAGAATGACAGCTCACCGCGGTTATGTGCTCTTTGGCGTGGACTTGTGGCTTGTTAAAGCTGATCCTGGGTGCTTCTCTGGCGGGCGATGCCCAGGGCGATAGGGCGGGGGGGGTCGGACGAATCTACGGGATACTGTCTACGATGACCCGGCGTAGAGTCGTGCTACGTGAATCATCCATACATCGCGCCTGTCTCATTCTATTTGTGTCGTTTCTTGTACTCTTCCCTACAGCAGTTGAGCTTCTCCCGGGCCATCCCTTCCGCAACACTCTTGTTGCGCCGGTTGCGGCGACCCTTACTGAAGAAAAAAAGTGCCAAAAAAACGCGGGGGAACTAAGGTTGGTTGCAGAACGCGCCCGCACTTAAGAACCTCTAGTTTCGGCCGCGGCTGACGTTCTTAGTTCCTGGGGGTCATGCTACGAATGGTCGCTATATAGATTTTTGTGTACGGATTCTTAACCGAGCTCACAAATGGTGCTCAAGTTCTTATATTGTACTTTATTAGGTTCAATATCTAAGGCCGCGGGCGCGTTCTGTTACACTCGAGTTCTTGCCAGAACTTCTCGCGTTGGTCCGAAGGGGGGCCGTGGATACATGTTTCACGAAAAGGTATGCTGAGCCGCCCTGCGGTATGCGACCACGTTCATCGTTTTGCGATTTCGTGGAAACAAATTCGAATATTGCCAGTCCTGGAATCTTCCTCAAAAAGTGTTCGATTCTTCCCGCTGTGTCTGGTTTAAGTTCATACCCCCAACATCATGCCCCTGCATCCTTGAGTTGAGGCCAACGGTCATGGTGGAAATGGCTGTTTCGTGTCAGGTTGTCTGGGCGACTGACTGTATGTAGTATAATACACAATCCGAACACTCAGCTGGACCATCCACAAGGAGATACTTTAAACTCGATTCATGGAGTGGGAGGGAGATTTTTCGGGCCTTTCGCGCTTCATGCCTGCCTTAAAACTCAAAAGTAGATACTTACAGGATAAATACACAGGACTGCTGTTGGTCGGTACCAGTACCTTGTAGGATAGCTGGTGTTGGGCAAGTGGCATACCGTTGTGATCCAGCAATATTTATGCCGAAAACAAGCAGCAAGCGAAAATCAGAGTGCCTTTTTGTATGGTGGAATGCAGACGCTTACATAGCAGATGAACGGCGGACAAGGCGCTCTCGTCTCTGCCAAGAGCACCCCCAACATACGACATACAGTAGACTCGGTAGGGCTTGACGTCCTTGCTGTACCCCAGCATGATGCCGTCCCATGCCCTCTGTCCTAGTTTGTTTCGTGTCTCTCGTTGTGGACGAATGCCCTAGCTCATATTCCTCAAGCCTGAAAGATCTGGTTCTTCCGAAAGGGCTTGGGGTACGGAGAACTTCCGACAAGTGCACGATGAGGAGAGCGATTATGAAGGAAAGCCGACGTTTCGTATATTTCTCCCCGGAATCACTTCGAAAGTCCAGTGTCGATGAGATGCACCTTATCATGTTCATGATGGTCTGTCCGTCACGTTCTAACACGCCATTCTGCAAAGGAGTGTTTTTATTCCGCCCTGGCAATTGATTAATGTGGACCATCGAAAGCTCGAAGTGGAAGTGTCGGGTCGCTCGGATCCCACGACCAACTTTAGCGTTTATACAAGAAGCCGTAAATCAAAACCAGCAGACTAGTCAACTGCTGACTATGCTGACTAGTCTACTGCTTCATGGAGTCAGTGCTGACTAGTCTAAATTAAATCAGTGCTGGCTAGTCTAATAGAGTCAGCTGCTGACTAGTCTAATGGTTTTGATTTCGTAGTCAGCGCTGACTAGTCTACTGGTTTGATTTCGGCTTCTACAGGCGCAACAAGGCATTGGTTTGGCGGGAGAGAATCTCCCTACGTCACAGTGTCGGGGTCATTGTCCCACCGCTCGGCGGATTTCCAAAGTAGCGGCGTTAATAGATACCGGCTCTCGTTCCACGGATGCCTGTCGAGCATTGTGTCGACGAGGCTACTGCGTGCCCCTGAGAAGGAAGCACGAGAAAAGATTCGCTGCTGCCAGAGAAAGACATGCCCAAACACCACCAATGTCCAAACCTTGTACTTGTGTTGCTCGTTTCTACTGTCCTTCCTTCACTGATCCACTCTTATATGATTTGTGGCCATTGCTGCCGTCGTTGTCTCTTGTTGCCCTCCGCCGCCACATCACTGCCCCCTTTATCCTCTCTCTCTCGCTCTCTCTCTCTCTCTCTCTACCCTTTCCCCCCCCCGCAACTTCGAGGGCCATCACGGAGCTGAGGACCTGCCTGGTAACCGACTACCAGCTCCACGTACGAACCTTCACCCTCCACACGATCCTCAAGACCGTGGCCGACTCCTACAAGCCACCCTGCCCTCCCTCGGTAGACGTCCGCAAGGCCGAACCCACCGAACCCGCTTCTTCTAGTGCCACCACCGACGCGGCAGACGCAGCGGTGATGGATGTATACAGCGAGGATAATTCAGCGGTGGCGTTGGTGGTTCCGCCGTCTTCTCTTCTCTGGGACAGTCTTCCATTGACGCGTGTATCCCGGAGGGGGTGGAGCTGCTGATGGAAGACCTCTTCGGGGAGTCGGCCGCCGCTAAGGAGGTTCGCGCTTCCTGTCCATGCACAACAACAATTTGTACCTTCACGTTTTCGCGATAACTTTGAAAAGAAAACTAGGCATAGGAGCTCGTGTTTTGCTAAAAGCAGGGGGAGGGCGCAGGAGCGTTATCTGCTGCACTGGTGCCCCATCGTCGTTTTTGGTTGATGTCGTGTTACCGCCCTCTCACTTTTTCGTAGTAGCAGTGATGACGTCAAAGCTAATGACAAGGGAGCGGTGCTCTCGTTTTAGAAACATGCAGTCAAAAAATGGTTACATGGCCGTTCGAGATAAGTCGAAGGGGTGGGATGAAGTCTTTGCTTGTTACGAAGAATATGTTTTATGTGTTCCAAGCCTTTTCGCTGGGAAAGCACTGACGCCAGCTGGAACAGGTACATCTATGAATAAAGTTCTGCATGTGAACTTTCTAGAACGTCCTTGTACTGTGCACGTGAGTCTGCGGGGTGACCTCGAAGTGCGGCTTCGGTCCCATCTCGTGGGGAAATTTTGACCGAGAACAACCTGCACGACTGTTTTAGTTTGATCTCTTGAACGTTTTTTCCGACCGTAGCCGAAGGGGCATTATTTTCTCTCTTTAGGAAGCTGATATATAAGATGACCCGCTCGCCGTGCATCCACAAATATCGCATTGGAACTCCCTCCTCTAGGCCCAAGGAGCAAACGTTGCCTCGTCCAAGATGAAGGAGGCTAAGGGGCAGAAGGCCTACGACTCGTTCGAGATCGCGGCGAGGACCTTGCTCTTCCGGCCGACATTCACCGTGCTAGCGCCGGAGGACGCGGATTCGGTGTCGTCGGTGCACGCCCTGGTGGGCCCCGTGCTTTCCCTCCTGGAGGGGTGCGAGAACGCCAGGTGTGTGTTTTTTATTGTTGGCATCGACCGCGCTACAAAACCTGCCGACCGATGAAAAGACGTCAGTGCCAACGGGGAGAATCAAGGTCCCTGGTTGTGCAGTCTTTGTATGTACCTACGAAGCCGCTCGTTTTCTGCGGCTTGCATCCATCTATCACCCATTTTCTGGACCGATCGCTCACGGCCTTCTTTTGCTTGCGGTCAAGGGCGTCTTCGTTTCAGGTCGGTGGGTAAGGCTAACGAGGCCCTCACGAGGATCGGGATGGGCCTGGCGGCTAACCCCAGCGCGACGAGGTCCAAGATGCTCCTCTAGGTTCACGCGACCGTGGCGCCGTTCCTTCTCCCCCAGGTGACATCATCACCCAAGTGACGTCGTCACCCTGGTCACGTCATCACCCTAGTGACGCCCCGAGCATATGCTTATCTCCATCACCACCGTTACCCTTAGTACATACACCTGCAAACGCTCGTACCCGCTTGAAGGACACTCATTGTTTGTTGTCTAACATAGTTGCCTTTGCGGCGGAAGGTGCTTTCAAATACATCGGTATTCTTGGAGTGGGACGTGTTGCTAAGTGTTACACCCTGCTGCTGCTGATGTTTATTCTTTTCTAGCTTTGTCGAGCTTGCTTCGATTTCATCCTTGCTGTACGCCGCCCCCGCCCCCTTGTTATCCCGTCGGCTGCCAATCTTCTTTTTCTTTTTATCGGGGGACCTTTGGAGACAGACATCGGAGGAGGAGGACGACGACGAGGTGGAAGAGGGAGGCAGCGAAGACAGCAGCGACAGCAACTGTGGTGCGGGGGGGTCGACAGCCGCGAGAAAGAAGGCCAAAAGGAGCTCCGCTGGCGGCGGGGCTTCATCCTCCGCCCGGCAGGCATGTGGGTAGGTTTTATTTTCTGCCGGCCCCCCGCTCCTTCACCCGAAGTCGTGTGCTTGCCCCGCTCGGCGCTTGTTTTGTTTGATCCTTCGCCTCGATTTTTGGCTTGGTATAAGAGGAACCAATTTGATGAAACGTCCTAACTGTTGGTATCACAGCAGTCAGTCACAGCAGTCAGTGTTGATGAATCGCCCTATTTGTTGGTATCACAGCGGTCAGTGTTAGTCTTGATGAATCCTCCTAAGTCTTGGTACAATCATTGCAGTCAGTGTTGACGAGCCCTCCTCAACCTCGCTTTGAAATCGGAGCGCCCAC